GGATACTGCAGAAATAGTAAGAGTAGTATGATAGTATGCAGGGCTCCAGACTGCGACTAAACGTGACTGAAAATATTAATTTGCGACAAATTGCGAGTGAAGTTTTGGTGTTCTTAAATGCGGCATTAGCGCTCGCTTTAGTGCCTCAGTTCAAGCGGCACATGAATCCATCATATCTTTCTCTTTACCACTATAGTACGAAATAAACATGAGTGGACAATGGACATCAAAAGGTATTTTATAAGATACAGTACATCTTACTGAATTTTCTCATGTAATAGCTCATTCAGTGTTTCAAACTGCGGAAAACGTGTCAAGCTTGTAAACAATGCCATGTAACAATATTTACCTCAGAATAACCATTCAGCGTCCATAAGCTCATCAGTCAGCTAGAAAAAATTACTAGAAATAGGAGCATTTTGCTAAATTTATCTGCTATATTGCATATTCATAGTTTTACTTAACTTGTTAGGCTACATAAGAAAGAATGCAAGGAGCTAATTGTAAAATTCAACACCTCCTATATAATTGCATGTTAATAATGAAGAAAAACAGACTGGATGTGTGCATGCATATGACAGCATTTATAGGATGCATTGAGGAGGAGCCCAAACTACACTCAAGTGATGGCCAAATGATGCTGAAATAATTATGGTCTGCGACATTGGCACAGATTATGTATAATAAACAATTCTTTGTGACTGTATAGTTTTCAAGTTGGAAAAGACATTTAGTTCCCAATTTAAGTAAACCTTAGTTCCCAGGACATCTACAAGTTGGATTAAAATGCAGATAAAGACAAGAAAAGATGAGACATAAACACATGACAGTATGACTGAAATGTTAAGGTGTTTAAAAAATAAATAAATATGTTTAATCTGTAGCCTTTTAAAAAAAAAAATAAAAAAAAAAATCCCCCCCCCCCCCCAAGTAAAAAATTATTACTGGAAAGAAAGATGACAAGTAACACAACAAGTAACTCTGCAGTATTTTGTAAAACAATAGTTTTCTGTAAAATAAAATTAGTATTGTTATTATCTTGTCATTAACTTTCTAATTATTATGTTGTTTTTTGTTAATTTGTTTTAAAAATTGCATTTTAAATCGCAAATTGCAATTTTAACAATTAGAATTAAGCATGTGTATTAATACTGACTAAAAGAGAAGAAATGGCATAAATCTATTTTCATAATTCTTTTTAATTACTTTACAAAACAGCAAAGTACTTAATTGATTAAATTTATGAACAGAGATCAGTTTTTCATAGAGAATGTATGTGAGGCAACATGGACATACCTTTTTTATGTCTGTAGTACAGAAAGACTGAAACACATATCAAAATGATCACTGCCACCAAAGCAACTACTGGCCACAGGAAAGATGAATCAGTCTCATTCTTTGAGTTGTTCTCTGGAAAATGAGATGCATATCATTAACAATTACAGCTGACAGCTCAGGTTTTCTGAGTTTACTAGACTAGATTTGGTAAACCAAAATGAGATACTTGAGTGTTAATGTGCATTGTGTGTGTGTGTTTGGTCAGGTACTTTTGTTATCGTCACAGCGCTGTGTGATGTTTATTCTGTCTTCTTTCCAGCTGACAGGGTTGCTATGGTTACAGATGATGGATTTCTGACTGCAGTCCAGGATGAGAGTGTTGATCTGTGATGTCACTTCCTCTTTAGAGCATCTGTTGTTCTGATAGCTAGAGTCAATCATGAGCTCATGAGCTCTGCATGTGAAGTTCACAGTACAGGAGTCACTGCTGGACCCGTTTGAGTTCATAGTCAGCACAGGAGCCTCCACAGCATCTGAAACATACATTTGGGGGAAAAAAAGAAAAAAAACAACAAAAGAAAAACAGGTATCACAAAGTTACATCAGTTGATCAACTGTAAAATAAGCAACATTGTGTTTGAAATGGGTAAATAATACATCCTGAAACTGTTGTAAGATTACATTTTAATAGCCGTTTACAGAATGTGCATCATAACTGCATGTGCATGTCTGACAGTGCACTCAAACTTTACAGTTCGTGGAATGGCAGATAGTGCTGGGCGGTTTGACCGAAAATCCGTATCACGGTTTTTTATCATGGTTTTTTTTTTTAGGATTCTGGCGGTTTCACAGTTTATCACGTTTTGTTCCCTGACTGTGCCTTTTATATGATTAAGAACGCATGAAACAGTTGCAGAACCACTGTGTTTAATCACGATCCAAACAAACATGCTTCATATATGTTCATGTCTTCAGCGCTTCTGTTAACGGCCGTTTACAGTTGGTTTATTTGCCCAGTTAAAAAATGTGTTGTGTTATTAATAATTCTCTAACCATTAGCCAGAAGTGTATGCAGTTAGGGATTTCCTCTGGTATGTATACACATCTATGCTTGCACCAGTATGCCTTTTTTTAAATTATTATTCATACCGTGTGCGTAATTTAAACCTGCTTACCGTTTGAACCAGTATATCACCCAGCACTAGTGGCAGATAAACTGAATAAAAACACATTCATATTTAACATTTTTTAAGATACAAACATTTCATTTTACTTCCTTGACCTATTACATTGAACAAAATAAAGACTGAGCAGAAATGAGTGACCGGAACACACCAAGCAAAATCAGACTCACCTATAACAGATACTCTGTATGTAACAATATTGTTGTCTGATTCTCCACTTGCTACTGCTGTGTAGAGTCCACTGTCTGTCTTCTGCATGTTCTTCAGAGTCAGAGAGAAGGTTTTATTATTGAAATATACTCTGTCCTTGTGGGAAGAGTGGAGTTTTCCTTTTTTAGATTCATTTGTATATTTAACTATATTCTCTGATTTATCATTTTTCCAGTATAAATCATCAAACTCTGGTAGTTCTTGTGTCTGTATATCCAGCTGAACAGAAGCTCCCATCTGCACAAACACAGAGATCTCAGCGCTGAACCCTGAGGAGAGAGAAAGATACTTGTTTTCTGAGTGCAGCTGGTGAATTCACTAGACCTGTTGTACACTTCTTTTCTGAAAACGTTAGAATAGTAGACATCATAATGGTTTGTGGCATTTTCTCATCAGTTTCTATGTAGGCTAATTCCTGATTGGCAAGTATCAGTTAGTGGTGGCACATTTCCCTTACCAAAAAGTAGTATACTTCAAGTTTATTTTATTAAGTATACTTAAGTAAAGTTCAAGTATATTTTTAAGTATACTTTACGTGGTAAGTATACAAATATCAGTGTACTAGTAGTATACTTGTAAGTGTACTATTTCAATACTACTTGGGACTAAATTGGCCCACTTTCTAGTACATAAAAGTATACTTTTAAGTATACTTTAAGTATAACAGTAGTAAACTTTGAGTACACAACTAGTTTACATCAATATTTTTAGCTTGTAG